TAACATCAGGTGAACCGCCAGTACGTTTGCTACCTTCTGTCAAAAGAAAACACTTTCTCGACTTCATTTACATTTCTTCATTTTATCTATAGATAACTATTTTCGTTTTTAAAATAATTTCTAAAATAGAGCGTTTACTTGAAAAGTAAAGCTAAAATATATCATAAAAGATCAAGAAAACATTTAAGAGAACGAATGGTTTTTTAGTTACATCGTAAATACCCGGATATTGAAGTAAACCTAATTTGCCGTGAAGAGACTCATATTCACTCCGCTTTGACGATAAAATCAATTACCCATACTCCAAAGCCCACACGTCCAACACAAGCATGAAGTCCATTTGCTTCTGTAATTATTACCTGTTCGAGTTGTTGGCTTTAGTAGAACATTTAATGTTAGATGATATATTTAGATGTTGATTATATGAAACAGTATTTTAAAATGTAAATGACATAAATGTAAATATGTATATATAAAATATAGCCTATAAAATATAGCCTATGTCTTATTCTGATGTATGAGCTATATTATTGTAAAGTTTCATTAAAATCCATTCAGTAGTAGTTGCGTGTAAGGGTAACAAACATCCATCCATACATACAAACTTTCGCTTTTATAATATTAGTAAGGATTGATGAACGTTTGCATCATCTCAAGTAGCAATTTATTGAATGAATAAATGAATATTTCAGGACATTTTAACTGAAGTTATCTAGGTGCCCTAAACTCGCATTGGATAGTACCAAACTAACACTTTTTTTTAAATAAATAAATATTTTTTGTATATAACACAGACCGTAGAAAAATTCTATGTTCATCACAAAATTTTTTCCCAGTATTGGGGATCGAACCCATAGCATCTGGCGCAAGGGACAGGTTCACAATCTACTACGACAATAGGGTCATTAAAGTATTTCGGTTATTAAAGTAGTGGTCTTAAAATTATCCAATATTATATAAAATTCTTGTGTCACAGTTTTAGTGCTTATACTCTAAAACTGTGACACAGGAATGAATGAATGGAATTTTATGTTTCTTCAGTAGGTATGAGAATAGATTTATATAACAATTTTTTCTTCTATCCTATAAATAATTTACATGGCAAAACAACGTTTGCCGGATGAGCTAGTACCTTTATATGTTTTATATGAATCAATTTTAATCTTAACAATTTTTCATAATAATGAATAAGTTATGTAAATACTTTCAAAACACTGTAAACAAGTACAATGATTCATGCATTACCATATATCTGTACTGTAAACAAAAACTTTTGGGAACTGTAATATTTATACAATAATACTACTTTCCGAATAATTTATTGTTAGCTATCAAGAGTCTATTCCAGATTTTTCGTAGAATACTTCTTTACAAACCATTCTTTTCCCTCATTTTTTTTAAAATACGTAAGATATAACAAGAGAATATCACTAAACTACTAAAATCACTGAAGTTTTTCTTACATGAACATTTATTAACATGTGTGAAGATTTTTTACTTTCTACTAACCTTGTCGCGCAAATATTTGGCCCGTGTGGGAATCGAACCCACGACCGCTGGCATCGAAGCCAACAACTTAGCCATTGGACTGCCGAGTTACCAATGTTAACATACTTAACCTTATAATAAATTAAAAATATAAATTAAGACAAAAATTTACTATTAACTACTTCTTTCTAATTGTAAGTATAATCTTTGTCAATAATTAGTTGTATGAATACAAGGAGTATTCAATTCAATAGTAATATGTTTAAGTAAGATTAGCATTGACTTTAATTACAATCTGTCTTGCGGCTACACTTGGCACTTTATTCTAGAGCTATAATAATAGTTTAGACAAATATTGTTTCTATACACCTCATTAACAGTTTACTTACGTAATATGTATATTTAGTTAGTGGTTTAGTAAATTACTAAGCGTCGTTGTAAATATTGATTATAATACAATTGCTTATATCTATTTCATGAGCGTAATCCTATAACATTATATAGTTAATTGCCAAAAATCTATTGCATGAATTGAATAATTCAGAATTTGTTATTAATAAGCAAAATATGTGATAATTTACCCTATCTCTTATATAAAGGTACAGTTAACGTTGGCTACATCATTTAAAATGACAATAAAATATACGAGTAAAGAATATAAATAGACGCAGAAATATTGAAAAACGCGATGAGCTTAGTAGAATGTTGACCACAAACATAAAAGCAAAAGTAAAAATGAACATTAACAGATTAAGTTAAAAGCAATTCGGACAAATTTAACGCTTTATGTTACGACGAAAGGTAAAATGATGACAACACAGAGCAAGGCCAAAAACCCAGTTCGGATGAATAAAATGCTACGAGTATTTTCTTCAAATATTCAGCAGCAAGTGAAAGAATAAAAAATACAAATCAGGTCCTTATGAAGCCATGAAGCGTAATACAAATAGGCAGCTTAACTTGAGTTATGTCGTTCGACGAATTAATTAAGACGTTTAGCCCGTAAGCTGAGCGGAATAAAAATCAGGCAAGTAAGACGACATCAGACGAGGGTTCCAGTGGCGGTCATAATGCGTTCGAAAACGAAATAATTGTAATTTTTTTTTCACTTTAAAACGCTTAAATGAAGACGGAAATAAATAGAACCTTCGCTATAAACAGTTAATAATTATTTGTTTAGTCGTATGTTATGTGGAATGGCGTTTTTTGTTCATAATTTGTTTACTCACCTTTAATTCAACATACTCGAGCAATCTGAGATCGATCCAATGAAATTGTCAATTTTAAGTGCTACTGACTTCCCTGGGTGTTGAAGTCCGCCAATCTGCAGTGAGTCCGCCAATCCGCAGTGGGTCCGCCAATCCGCAGTGGGACCGCGTGATGGACTATGCCCTAATACCCACTGTATAGAGGAGGCCTTTGCGCAGCAGTAGGACATATATAAGCTGTTACTTAACTTTTTACAATCCTTAATATTAATTTCTTTGTAATCGGAGTAAAAAAATTATATTTTACGCATTCTTAAGTCAACATAAGTAATTTAAATGACAATACATAAAAATATGACGTAGCAACGTGCGTCATATACAAAATTGAATTGAAAATAATATTGGCTGCCACTCTACCTCGAAATATTTGATAACTACACGTTATCTATGTATTTAAAATTTTTCTTTCTGGAGATGAAAAATGTAAATGTTATCTGTCTACCCATACAAACCGAGGCCAGCAGCATATATACATCCCACTGCTGGGCAAATGACCTCTATTTGTACAGAGCAGGGGCCGCGCAAACCAACCGGGGTAGGCATACTTCAAGTATCTTCAAAATAATGAATTATCACCCTTTCCGCTGGAAACATTACTATAGCGAATTGTGAGTTCAATTTTCAATTAACATTAATTGTTGTCGAAATTACTCGATACAATAATATTAAATTCTCATGGATGCCGGTAATCACTTAACACCGTTTTCCGTTTTCTACCTTTTCACATAAAACAATTAAAAAAAAGTAGTGAAAACTAATGTAAGCCCGTAAAAAGTTATACTTCTTCAGCGTAATAAAAGAAAATAGTTATTATTGGTTGCCATAGTAATACCGTGAAGTTGGTTGCAGAGCGACCAATATCATGTCGCTTTTCGGCTGTCGGTGTGCGCGCACGTCGTAAAACATTTTACTCTCATATTTTTTTCCAAACGCGCCAAACGAAGTAAAACTTCAATAATTGTGGTAAAGGTTTGAATGTCTACTGCTTCATGGGTGTATCAGTACCACTGGCTAACACAAGACCATTGTAAAACGTATCTTCTAAAAACCGCTTTTTTTTTCGGGTACGGTGGCTGTGTATCAATTTTCAAAGTTAAGGCCAGTATTCCCTAATAGATTATGTACCTATGTATGGAGTAATCATTCGTTCGTTCTCCACATTTTCCCATAAAAATCGTATCGATTCCATAGCCACCACGCAAAGTGGATTGGCAGACTTTAAATATCTTCGAAATATTTAATTATGGTTTCCAAAATGTAAGTCTCCAAGGAATATTTCACCGATCCAATAATTGAACACGTTATTAAATGATATCACATATAAAATATAAATTAAATTAGCAATTAACATTAACTAGTGTCGACAGTGCTTCGTGCAATAAAATAAAAACAAATAGTCATCATTGGATGACTCCGTGGCGCAGTTGCCAAGGTATTGGCTTCGGCGTCGGGGGTCGTGGGTTCGATTCCCACACGGGACAACTATTTGTGTGACCCACAGATAGTTGTTTCGCATCTGGGTGTTTGTCCGCGTGAAATTTATGTTTTGTAAAACGTCCCTTACAACACAGGATAATATTATCCTAAAGTAAGGGCAGTGTTTAAAAAAAAAAAGAGAAAAGAGAAAAGTCATAACATTGGCAAATAAAACTTCTTAACTTCAAAACATTTTGGAAAAAAAACTGCAAAGGAGCCAAATTTGTCCAAGACGCTACGTTCCCATCGATATGTCCTTAACCCAATTGTTGTCCCTTTCAGATGTAATACAACATAATTTTCTCATTTCACAGGTAGCCGCCTCGAGAATGCCGACGTTGGATTAGATTAGATAAGCGATCCTGTGACGGCCGACTTCGTCGCGAAAATGTTGGAATTTCAATCCTCGAAAATTGTGAGAGCGTCAAGGGCGGCGGATGAAGTGAGAAATTTAATTTGAGAGGGAAAAAATGGATAACATCGCGCCCTGGCAATGGAATGTTACATTTCCTAAAATATCACCTCGTTGGCGCCGCATCGGATGGAGTGTTTGACGTGCTGTAAACGATCTCATGTTTCGAAGTATCGCACAGTTTCTATTTATAAACTGCGACAATTGATAAAATCCGATCGGGGGCTGCAATGGATGATATGAAGTGATAAAGAAGTACAGTGAAGTGGTACATGTGTTAGAAATCGAGTGTTGAACCAGTGTTATAGGCGAAGTTTGTCTTATTCGGAATAGATAGATGATGAAGTGTTGAAATCATGGGCTGTCAGTTGGGAAAGCTGGCCGCCTCCGAGAGGCGTGGCAACAACGCTGGCCCCGCATTAGCTGACGGTCCACCTCCAGCCACCGACCCTCGGCTGCCGCTGACCGCCAAGCAGAAGTACTCCATGCTGGCCTCGTGGAAGGGCATATCCAGGGCAATGGAGAAAACCGGCATTTGCATGTTCATCAAGTACGTATCCAATTCCAATTATGTTTATACAAGTTGAGATAAATCATCAGAATTGTTTTATTTTAATTTATTTTTAAATTGTAAAAATCATTTCGATTGGTGACACTCACTGTCGCATTTCACACTTTAGTTTTGATAACATATAGGTACATACGATACATGCTTTCACAAACATCAATATGAACTGACTAAAATGATGAAAAAACCACGTAAGAGAAAATATTTGAAGTAATGACTGTGTGTAAATAAACAAATTTATCTGACATTTCACATGGACATCATACGAAACGCTTCGCATCGATATATTAAAGATAATTGAAAATTAATTTGCTCTTTCCGATATTAAGCGGGAAGGCAATATCTGATTAATTCACATTAAATTAATGCAAATATATAAGCTAACATTACCTAACTGATCTTGCTGTTGAGTGAAGTCATTTTCGCGTTCGGAGCATAAAGACAAAGATATCTCATACGTTTATTATGTATTCAATATAAATGCAAATGAACGTCGTGATGAAATCGAGACGTGTCAAGGAACAATATGAGGTGTTCTGAAGTAGACCATTATTAAAAATATAAAACCATGTGTCCTTCTCATTTTAATTTTTTAGTTTATAAAAACTAAAAACTTAAAATGACTCGGTGGCTAAAAATATATGAGATACATACTTGTCCCGAATATGTGTACATCGTATGTTATTGAAACACTGTGTGAATGAAAGTATGGATGTTATTTTACGTTGTATGTAACGTTAAACAAAACTTTCTTATCGTTGGAAAAACAATAACTATTCAAAATAATAAAAAAAAATATTTTGTTTTGACTGACTTTACGGCAGCAGGCTGCAAATAAGATTGGGAAGAGTATTTGCATGGTCATAAATACTCGCATAACTGTGTCCCATCTCGATGAGAGTCCAATTAATTATTTTCTGTAAAAAGTCTATAAATAGACGAAAGTCTCGAAGTTAGAATGTTTATAAAGTAATTGGATGTAGAGATATAATAAGCAATTTAATAGAACCGCAAATGGATCTCTCATTTTGCGGTACAGACGCTTCCTTTTACAGATCATATTGACTGATTGCTGAGAAAAGCACCGAGGAGCGCTATTACAGTTTCTTGCATAAAGGCATGAAACTTGAAAACATCTGTATTCAGACACTTGATAGAGGCAAATAAATTCTCCATTTCTCCTCCTTACTGACGTTTCAATATTAAAATCATTAAACTACACTTTTCAAGTCGCGATCTTTCATCTCGCCTCTTTTAGTAGAGCGCGCAGTTTTGTCGCGAGACTCCCTAGGAATGTTAAGAGTCATTTCACTTTTTCAATAATTCACACGCAAGCTGGGACCTTCGGGGCATCTTAAACTTTTATATTCGCGCGTAAACATAAAACTGAACGTTTGAATTTCGCCTGTCGGAACGCGAACCGTTTACGGGCGGGAATAAAGACGCCGCGGAGTCGCTTGGCCGACAAAGTTTCGAATAATGCCTCGAGCACAACAATGGGGAGACTCATTAAAGTTACGCGAGTCTTAATGACGATAGACGTTGTTGGAAATGTACATGAATTATATTCGGTTACGTATCCGGTCCCGCTAGTTACCTCTACCTTTGGTGGAGCTATTTAATGAGAACCATTTAATGCGCAAAATTATCTATGTATTTTATTCGAGAATTTTCCACTGCAACTGTTAAAACATGTTTAGTAAAAATAAATTTACAAATTAATATCACAATTAAACTGTTGCTGTTAAAGAAATGAATATCAATAACAAATATAGAAACTAATAACAAGAAACCGTACATTAGTCTAAATAAATGAAATTCAATTAAGAATATAATCATCATTTGTTGAAATTCAAAATCTTAAAACTACACAAGATAAATTATATACATTACACAATTGAACATTTTATGTTAATAAATGTAAGGAGACCTGTTATCTATCCTTGTATTTTTTCCTTTTCCTAGTTTTCCTTATTTATTTATTATTCTCATACCTCTGTATTATTCGGCTCCACGGATTTTCTGTTCCTCTCTTTCTGCCGTTGTGATTTACATAATCTGGATTACGGCTGATCAAGGTGGTACCGTAGATCACCGTGATTGCATCTAAATATTTATCTTGACATAACATTTTACTTTTACTTATTGAAATTCACCAATCTCCTGTAGCGGCTCAGCGTATGGTGGTTTGCTTTCAAGGTACTAAAGATATCACGAACTCAAATACCGATTTCGGCAAAGAAATAATCCCAATTTTAAGTGCCCATTTATCACATCCTCGGCTTAGCGAAAATTATAGTGAGGAAACCTAATAATGTAAACAAATTCATATCTATTTCATATAAGACTCTTTTACCTTTAAGTCCTTTTATTTACGAGCTGTTACTTTAATTAAGTTCGCATTTTCCTTGTGCAAAAAGTTGGCAAAGAGTCAGACAATTCATTTGATCTCGCCCCGTAAGAGTCTGCCCATTATTTCAACAGCAGAAGCTGCTGCGTGGCATACCACTGTGTTAGAAGGGTATAAATTGATTAAAAATGGAACTGGTTTAACGAATTCTTTGTAGCCATTAGAATGGTGACACCCTTGAAAGTTACCAGCTCCAGATCAAATAAACAAATCTTTGAATATCTTTTTATCGACTTTATACTTTAACTTCTTGTTCTTATTACAGACAACCTAGTTTTTTTCCAACCAAAGATAACTAAGACAGATTGTAACGTAGATTAGATTGAAGAAACAACACTATTCATATATCATCGCCGTGTCAAAGTGTGATCAGTTATACAAAAAAAAAAAACTGCCGCTTTACCTTTCTCCCCTGCGAGTATAAACAAGTTAAATTTAGCTTTGTAGGTCAACAAGGGCCATTCCATTCTCGACGCGGGTCACCCTCCACTGTGACGAAATTCTTTGTATTCAATAGAAAAAAGCTCCCCAGCCGCCAACGTTGCGTTGTGTCTTTGAAAGTGAACAAAGGGGCTCGAAACATTGTTATTCCTGCTGTTCCCTTTGTACAGCTTCCGATTGAGATGAAACGGATTCGGATTGGTTTGATTGTGACGAAAATTATCTATGAATGATCTTATTTAAAGCCCTTGGCGTTCCTCGACAATTTTAAGTGACCTACAGATATTTTTAGATGAAGATTAGTGACCATTTAGTGCATGGGTCATATCTGTCGTATTCGCGTTAATATACGGAGCCATTCAACGATTTATTTCTCTTCACATCACATAAGATTGAATTGGTAACAATAAAGTGACCACCCGAATTATTAAGTTACACAATCATTAATAATTAGAATAAATTGTTTCCAATATTCTTCACATTTTATCCATCCATCACGTAAAAAACGCTCAGGCCGTCGTTTATTGTTATTCATCACATGTTTTCACACAGTTCTTTGAACCACAACATATGTAATGGTTCAAAGATCATGTACCGATTTTTTCATAATATTTTGTTTCCTGTATGTATTATTAGCTACGCATTAAACTGAACAATATGGATCAAACAATTTTGAAAATTTCTTGATTAAGTTACGTTTAAAATTTACCTTTGTAACATTTTTAGGTTTGACTGCGATATATGAGTGTCAATATAAAGCCGAGATAATTCTCACTTCATCTCGAACCACTGCCATAATGAATTTAAAACATAGGAATCTTATAATAAAATCAAAGTCGATGAAATCCGTAAAATGGTTTATTTTCCTTCTAACATTAAAGGCATTCTAGCAGACTCAACACCGCGCGTCTTAGTCGTGAATGTTAAAAGAAAATTAAAGTAAAAGTAAAGTAAAGTAAGTAGCAGCCACTGATGGGCGAAAGCGTGTTAAATTAATCCACCACGCGACCAGACTTCACATGATTTCTTCGAAAGAAAAAACTATGGCATTCAATATAATTTTCCCTGAGAAGATGGCAAGCGAGCTGATGGTTCACCTGATGATGAAATGTCCACGGGAGGCGAACATCACTCATATTCGCCTCCTATGGACATTTGCAACTCCCGTGGGGTTGCAGATGCGTTGCCATTTTTTAATAAAGTGGGCTCTCGTTACTTAGCTCACCAGCCGAAACGCAGAATTATAACACTTCTACTTCACACTGGTCTTCTTATTTATTTTTTTATTTAATCTTTATTGCAAACCTTCAGTAAAACAAGGTAACAAAGGGTGGACTTAATGCCCAAAGGCTCTACCAGTCAACCCAGAATGTGGTCAGAGTTTATGGTAGGTGCAGCAAAAGATATGTGTCTTCTGTGAGATTGTATATTATTTAATTCGAAGTTTCCCCACGTGTTTTCCTTCACCAATAAGTGTAATACATCTAATCACTTAAAAATTGGAACTAACGAATTCATTTGTACCGCTACCGGTATTTGAATTCAGTTCGTTCGAGTGTATTGATTGAGATAAGGGCGATGGAACGGAATTGCCAAACAATAAATTCAATCTCAAAAGAGATCCCTTATAAACCCGCAGCTGTGCGGATTTCGATGGAACTTAATCGGCTTCTTGAACTTTCCACGTCCATGTTCCGAGTACCGAAACAACTCAGTCTCATTTGACCGGCTCAAGTTCTATTCTGGGCGGCCCTGAGTAACTGGGCACTTGTAAAACTTCAGATCTCATATTAAGTTACGGAGAGGTATTGTTGTTGTTTGGGCAAGAAACTGCAGTTTCCACAATAAAACTCAGAAAATTCGTTATTTTACAATTTTACTGCCGATTTGATACAAGAGAATTGATGCGTGCAATGGTTGGATTTTGAATATGACAAATCACGTCTACCTTACAATTATGTCATAATATATTTTGATTTAATAATGTAAAAGTACCGACACAATCAATAGCTTGCTATTTATATAGTGTAGGCGCTTGAACAGGTATACTTTAACTGAACTGAACGCTTATGATTAATATTTTGGGATAATTTTGTCCATGCATTCTACTCTGATGGGAAACACGAAACGG